AAAAATTGCGCCATCCTCTTTCCCGGCGGTGTAGCAAAAACCAAACCATTTCAACAAACTTGAGGAAAGAACGGGAAAAAAACACAATTGCTATGAGTTTTGGGGCAACGCCTTGCTTGTGCGTCTTTCAGTTCTGCCCATCAAAGTGTCTGAGTGTTCTGTGCCTGAGAGACCTGCCTCCCCGGGAAACTTCTTTAACACATCATTTGCCTTCTGCCGCAAGCGACTTTCTCGCTCTTCGCGGGTCTGGCAGAAATCATCCTTAGAATGCAAATTGCAAGAAGCCTTGCAATTCATGCTCTGGTTCAGCTGGAGTGGACGAGCCAGCGTGCATACGCCTACGCTTTTGTTGCCATTTGAACACACTTCGGAGGGCAGCTGAGTGCAAAATGCACAGAAATGCTGGCCTCGATTTACGTCGCTGGAGGTGAAAAGAAGGCCTACTTGCTACTTTAAATACTGAAGTCTCACTGATACTGATTCCTCCATCTCTCATTCTGATCCCATTGGCTTCGGTTGGACCATGTGGTGTTAGGCCACTGAGGCCTTTGATCATTTTGCCAGTCTCTTTGATTGGCATTGCGGTCCCAAGCAGGTTCCGACGTTTCCCAGTCGCGGCCTCTCCCTGTCCACTGGTCATTGTTCCAGCCTTCGCGCTGATCATGCCAGGAGGTCCACTCTCGGTTTTGCCATCCTTCATTCCATCCATGGTCTGCTCCATCCTGGGGATTGTGGGATGACCAGTTCGCATCATTCGCATCTTCCTGTTGAAGATGCTCCTGCTCATCCCTCACACGAGCAGCGGGAGAATCTTCTTGGAGCTGCAAGGCTCCTTGCCTGAGCCAGTCCGGGACAGGGACACCTTCAGTTCTCAACATGTCTGGGAGAGCTATCACGACCTTAGCAAGGTCATCCATGCGGGCCGGGTTGGATGTGACGTAGATTATCACCCTGGACTCTCCTGCTCTTCTTCGGTCAAATCGGTAGCGCATCATCTCTTCCGTGGACGGAAGATCATAGTGCAAGCTGTCAATTCCACTGATGTCCATCGTCTTGACCCCGTGATCAGTACTGACGATTACTTGGATTTGCCCTTGAAGGAACTTTCTCCAAATCTGCTGCTGCCGGTGTTTGTCCACACTGGCGTGAAGGGCAGCACTAGGGATGTGTGCTCCAAAGAGCTTTTCATCCAAAGCTCTGGCCTGCGACCTGCTGTTTACCCAAACAAGGAGCCGCAAAGGCTGACCTGCTTGTCTTGGCCAAGAATCAATATCTTTGATCAAGCGAAGTGGCTTTTCACTCAGCTCTACCTTTTCTGTCTGAATATCTCTTGCTGGGCTGCAAGCCAAACTAGTATAAACAACCACTGGCTGATGCAGAAGAGATCCCTTTAAATCTTGAACGTCTTTCGACAGAAAGCAACTGGTAAAAGTCATGGACATTCGCTCTGTTTTGTCAGGAATGCCACTCTGCAAAAGGTGTTGGATATCCTTTCCCATGCCCATGTCCATCATGCAGCTTGCATCAGTGAGCACGAGGCCGAAGGTCTGCTTTAGGCAAACAACCCCGCCGGACACCATGCTGAACAATCTCCTTGGATCGGCCGAACGGAAATGCTGCGAAACGAAATGCTGGGGCGATTGTTTTGGGTTGTTTTGGGTTGGCGAACAACATGTTTTTCAGGCTCTGGGGCACTTACGAGGGAGTTGCGACCATCACGTCGGCACCAATGATCTCCGCAATTTGCCGCCGGACGCTTCCGTCGCTACCACCGCGTTCTCCGCGCCCATGCAAGCACACAGATCGAAAGGCGGAGCCTTTGAGCAATGCAAATGCAAGCTGGTGACTTTGCATAGCACTTTCCCGTGTGTGACAAAGCACTAATGTATCAGGCACACTTTTGCCAAGTCTTGGTCTGTGTGGCAACTTTTGCATCATGTTCACCAGCATTGGCATCAAGAATGCAAGTGTTTGACCAGATCCTGCTGGTGCATGGCATTGCAGGTCTCGTCCGGCTAGACCAGCTGCAAGCACGTACTTTTGAAGCAAGTTGGCTGGACTAGCCCACAAGTTGTTCTCAAGCAAATTCTGGCGGAACTGATCTGGAAGTTTGACTTTCATCCGGCCAAAAAGATCTTCAAAGGTTGCCACCTGCAGTTGGGGAATTCCATCCAACTTGGCACCTTCAGTACTGCACTGCAAAGCGACGCCTCCGCAGTAGTCATGATCTGAAATTGTGAGGCTTTGATTTGATACAGGCGGAACCGTATCTGCAAACTCAGCTTCCAGGTCGAGCCTAGACCACCAGCTGTTGAGGAAGAACAAGCGATCTTCGTTCAGAATTGCTTTCTCCTTGACTGGATACTCAAAGATGAGATGCTCCTTATTCCGGCAGCCCGTCCATGTTTCTCCTCCACACTCGAGATGAAGAGCAGAGCCTTCGAAGGTCACCTCCAACTCCTCCAATGGGTCTGTGTCATTGACAAAGATCTCGATCCTCCGAGCAACTTGGGCCATGCTCTGGGCTTGCGGTAGATTCTGTTTTCAGAAAATTAGTTGTCAGTTGTCAGGGCTTTCTTGTGCGATGTGAGGCCGTGGGTATGAGTCAAACGGAGTCAACGGTGGGAAATGGATTGTACGGCTTTGCCCTTAGTCCGCTTGAGCCAGAAAAAGGCTTGACGGCTTGACACCCAGAGTCAGCTTGTCATGAGCTTGGACTCCTTGAGCCTGTTTGGACGATGTCAGGGCTGAGTGCGATTCATGCGTAGGGCTCTCAGCAGCGGCTGCATCAATGTCCACCTTCATACCTTCAAGTTTGTTCCATCCGCCTCGCCCAGCAGCCTGACGAACCAATGGCTGTTGTGGTGAGTCAATGGTGGCAATGACTCAAGCGCCTGCCAGTGAGCTACCAAGTGAGGAGAACGAACCGGCATGCTGTCGCCAGTGTCCTGGCACCAACAGCTTCATCCAAAGAAAGCGGGACGATAAAGTCCAGTCATCCTCCGCAATGAGACCACTGGTGCCGCCCACTTTGTCTTCTGACAGCGCCATCATCCAAACATGCCCCTGTCAAAACGCGAAACTCAAACTTGCGTCAAAAACATCTGTGGTGCGATGGCAGTCTGCCTTCCAGAGCCAGCCTCTCCTCAGAGTCTGCGACTTTACAAACTGTGTTCACGCTTTCTTTGGGAGATCTATTCAGTTTCACAAAAATGCGCTCAGCAAAGGACCCCCCTGATTGCTTCCACACCGGCAGACCGTGCTCACGCCTGCCAAAGGGCTGGAAGGGAGGTGTCACAGCCCGTTTTGAGTTTGTTTGGACCAACTCCCGACATGTGAGCACACCATGTGAGCACACCTTTGCATGGTTCTCATCAGTGCACAACTTGCAAATCAAATCCTAGTGATTATATTATAAGTCTGATGAACGCTACTGGGAACAACACATGTATGCCAGGACTAATGGAGGTACGCTGAAAGCAACCATAGAATTCTTTGGACTTTGCATGCCTTATTGGGCCTAGTTTTCACGAAATGTGAGATGCATTTGACGTCTCGCTCGCCGGAAAAGGTCTGCTTGGAGTCCCTTGTTGGATAGCTCCGCACAGGCGTTTCCGAAACAGGACAGCCAAAAAGGAGCCTGTTTAAAATATATAGCTTTGTGAAAGCAGGATTTCAAGAAAACGCGGTAGGTTATGTGCAGGCAAAGATAGTTTTCTTTGGGAACAAGTGTGTTTGCAATTGGCAGGGGCAAAGAAAGCAAGAGTCGCCGGTTGCCTTCCACATTTACAGTCGCGGCTTGCCTAGTAAGGCCAGTGGGAACTTTTTTATATAGGAGCTTTTAGTTTGTTGTGGCGCTTTATCAACAGTGCCGGTTTGATAGAGCCTTCGCTGAACAGCAAAAACGGATTGACCATCGTGGGGCAGAGTCGGTTCCGTGCAAAGAAACAAAAGTTTGAGCTGAGAACGAACGGCCTTTTCCAGCTACTAGGAGCAAGGACGCTATTAGGGGCTCCTGGCCTTACTACTAGGAGCAAGAAGCGACTAGTAACAAAGGGCATCGCTACCAGGAGCAACAAGCTTCAGGAACAATGCGTCGGTTGTGCATCGGTTGCTTCAATTCCATCGAAGTCGCCAAGCCTTGTTGCCGAAGCAGTGTACAAACCAGACAATTCGGCATGCCTTACTCAGACTGCAAGCCTCGTGATTTCCGAAACAAAGAATAGAATCCAAATGCGGGAAGGAGCTCCAAAGCTAATCTATCTGACCAATAACATTGCGAACCCAGCCACTCTCCAGGAATGGAGACTTTGAGATTTGGAGGAGCGCTGATGCATTTCTTGCAGCAGGTCCTGGACAAATTGCACACGTTTTTGGCTGAAAAGGAATTGTTGTTTGATCTCAGTGTCATGACTTGTTACACTGAGATCAAGTCCATCTAATTCTTGAGCTTTTCAACTGTCAAGGTTCATATTGACTCATGCGCGGGGAGAACAACTGAAGCGCTCTTGAACCCGGAGGCAGCGGAGCGCCCGCAGCCACTTTCACACGGCGGTGCTGGAGGCATCCTGAAGAATTAAAGTCAGCATGCAAGAATAAAAAGAAATGGGCACGGCACAACAGATTGCATTTATACACGCACACAAACACACGCACATGCATGTCCAAAACCACAACGCTTATACGGCTTGAGGCAAGCGACAGGCTGGGATGAAAAAACTCGTAGAAGTGCTGTGGGTTGCGGCCTGTGGGGTCACAGGAACAAGTTTGGAGATCTAAATAGCCGCTGGGGCACCAACGGTAGCACTCAGCACCATATTTGCATTCCTGTCAGGGTTTGCACGGTGTATAGGGTGCAAAGTGTAAACGTCTTGACAAACTCATCGAAACAACATAGCCACGGGCAGGCTCATTTGTGAAGGAGCAATCCAAAATTGCAGGCCTCCAAGAGAGCCTTCCGGGGTCCTAGCAGGCACAGTTCACCAAGGATTCTAGTTTCCAACATCTTTCCAACATCCCACGCCTTTGGGAGGAGCAAGTGCTAGTTTGGTTTGACAATGCACCCCAGCAATTCCAGGAGCAATTCGTAGTCCTCAAAGCGTGCAATTGCAAGAATGGCACGACGTTCAGCCAACGACGACGATGACGACACCTTTTAAGCTTCTTACGTAGGAGGTACTCCTCGCTGGCGCGGCAAGTTGCCCGGAGGCATAGGAAACCTTTGTGCTACCACGAAGCACGCGAAGGCAAAGTTACGCACCGACCAAATAACCGACAAGGGGCACAAAGTCTTTCCATCTGCAAGGCGAATCCACTGATCAGCTTTGCCACGCGTCTCCATCTTCATGACCCAGCTTTTGGTGTAGGGCCTTTGGGCATTTGGCTCTCTGTCTCTCTCTGTCTGTCTCTCTCTCTTTCTCTCTCTCTCTCTCTCTCTCTGTGTCTCTCTCTCTCTCTATCTGTCTATCTGTCTATCTGTCTCTCTCTATGTCTCTCTCTCTGTCTGTCTGTCTCTGTCTCTCTCTCTCTCTCTATGTCTCTCTCTCCCTCTCTCTCTCCCTCTCTCTCTCTCTCTCTATCTCTCTCTCTCTCTCTCTCTCTCTGTCTCTCTGTCTCTCTGTCTATCTGTCCATCTGTCTATCTGTCTACCTGTCTATCTATCTGTCGTTTCTTTCGTTTCTTTCTTTTCTGTATGTTTTCTTTATCTAGATATGTATTTCTATATATTTGTCTTTATTCCGCTTCTTCCTTTTTTCCTTTATTTGTGTCTTTCTTTATGTCTCTCTTCCTTTCTTCCTTTCTTCCTTTCTTCCTTCCTTTCTTTCTTCCTTCCTTCCTTCCTTCCTTTCTTCCTTTCTTCCTTTCTTCCTTTCTTCCTTTCTTCCTTTCTTCCTTTCTTCCTTTCTTCCTTTCTTCCTTTCTTCCTTTCTTTCTTTCTTCCTTCCTTCCTTCCTTCCTTGCTTGCTTGCTTGCTTTTCTGTCTGTCTGTCTGTCTGTCTGGCTGGCTGGCTGGCTGGCTGGCTGTCTGGCTGTCTGGCTGTCTGGCTGTCTGGCTGTCTGGCTG